GTTTTGAGCTCCAGAGTCGCTGAATGGGACTCGAACCGAACGTGTGACCCCACCAATGGATTCCTCGTTCGGAGAGCAATCCACCGGTGGGGTCACACGCTCGGTTCGAGCCCTGTTTAGCGGCTCTGGAGCTCAAAACGCGTCTAGAGTTTTTGCCGGCAGCGCCGGTCTTCTGAGCCACTGTGCTCTTGGTTCGAAAATGTGCGGCCGAGATGGCGGCTGGTCCGAGCCCGGCGGGGCGGGGCGGGGCGGGGCGGGGCGGGGCGGGGCGGGCCGGCGGAACGGAGCGACGCAGCGGGCTGCGAACGCCACAAGTTTCTGCGAGATAGTATTGCATGTATTGCAGAGAGCTTGGGGAGGGGAGCCCTTATGAAGGCGCGCCATTTCGACCCAGTTAGCAGGGCGCGGCTCAAATTCATCCTCTCTCTGTCTCCCTCCCTCTCTCTCTTACAGTGGCGGTTCCTGGCGGGGCGCCCCGCCGCTTCCTCCATCTCTCCTTGTACAGGAAATAAATTAACTGGACGCCTGAGTGGATCCATTCCACGTGGCTTGCAGTTCTTCCTCTTCCTCTTCATATTCTTCGTCCGCCGACGCCCCACCCTCCACCCCGGCCCTGCAGGCCCTGCCGGCGCTGTGGCGCTGCTGGCCCAGTTTGGACAGCACTGAGCCTCCTCAGCCTTCATCTTAAGTTCCACAAGTGCGCCGCTGTGCCTTCCTCAGGCACTTGGTTTGCTTCTATGGGCCGGCCCGGACCAGCGCCTCTGCACGCTTGTCTCGACTCGAGGCGGGGCGGCGGGGGGGGCGGGGCGGGGCGGGGCGGGGCGGGGCCGGACCACACAGTGGAGGAACATCAAAGGAAGAAGATGGCATTAACTGCAACGCCAACAACAACACTACCCAGCACCTCCAACAACAACAACAACAACAACAACAACAACAAGCGGTCAGGGCTGCAGCATCCGGAACCTCGCACTGCGTACGATTTCTGAAGACACTTGGATACGATGCAGTTTTGTTACCGTAAATAGATCCTCTTTTGTAACAGAAGGCAAAATTTTGACACTGCGGAGTAATTGTTAAAAAGAACCTCACACCAGCCAGCTGGGCTTCGGGAGGCCAGTGTTGCCTACCCGCCGGGCGCGAAGCCGCTCTCTCTGGGTTTCTTTGCGGAACACTCGGGAGCGTCGGAGCGGAGCGACACATCGTGAAGAAGGGGGAGGGAGAGAGAGGGAGAGAGAGAGAGAGAGAGAGAGAGAGAGAGAGAGAGAGAGAGAGAGAGAGAGAGAGAGAGAGAGAGAGAGAGAGAGAGAGAGAGAGAGAGAGGGGATTAAGATGTGTCCGGCATTCCTTGCGTTCTGCGGGAAACCACACGTTCTGTGGCCGCGAAACAAAGCGGCCGTCGGACAGGAAAAAGCAGAGCCATGTAGAATGAGAACAAAAAGCGCATGTTTTGCATCGCGGACCTTTTATTCGCCGTCACAATACGCATTCCCCGCACCAGGCCCACTAGTATCAGCGACACCGCAATCGACAGTGGTATTTGAACCTGATTGGCGGTCGAAACTCTAGACGCGTATTGAGCTCCAGAGTCGCTAAATGGGACTCGAAACGAACGTGTGACCGCACCAATGGATTCCTCGTTCGGAGAGCAATCCATTGGTGGGGTCACACGTCCGGATCGAGTCCCATTTAGCGACTCTGGAGCTCAAAACGCGTCCGGGATTACCAACTGCATGAGGGTTCCCGAGCGCTCGGCGCGTGTTTTCCAACTCTTCAATATTTCCGATCTCGTCGGCGGAGACGGCTAAATTTATCGCACGCATTAAGCCTCCGAAGCGCGCAATTGTAAGTCCGGTTTCCCCCTCAAAAATGCGTCCCTTTTCTGGCAACTTTGTCCGCGAATTGGCGCGTAAATCAAACCGGATTTCTGTTCGCGCGCGGGAAACGCGACGGAGGCGTGGCGTCGGACACCAAAGTCGCAAAGGCACATTACGGTTCCTCAAATTTGACTTATTGCCTCAGTGGGCGCGGAAATCTTGGGTCTTACTTGCGCCACCGATCGAGCACGGAAAGTTGAATTGAAAAAAGAAAAAAAAGAAAAGCGGAAGGGAAAATGGTGAAAAAAGAGAAGGAGGGTGCGTTACCCGTTGAGGCGCGCAAAGGCAATGAGCGGAGCGCTGCGCAAGATTTACATTGGGAGTCAACATTTGAGGCGAACGCGGTGGGAGGGGAGGGGAGGGGGAGGGGGACAGGACGGTAAATAAAATCCATCGGTCACAACTGCTCCATTTTTGCTCCGGCCGTGTCTCTCGTTGTTCCCACTTTTTGCCGGGGCCGCCGGCGACGCACAGTGGGCCAGAAGACCGATGGAGTCGGTTAAAATACCAGATGCGTTTTGAGCTCCTGAGTCGCTAAGCGGGACTCGAACCGAACGTGTGACCCCACCAATGGATTGCTCTCCGAACGAGGAATCCATCGGTGGGGTCACACGTTCGGTTCGAGTCCCGCTTAGCGACTCTGGAGCTGAAAACGCGCCTAGAGTTTCGGCCGCCTCCACCGCGGTCTTCAGGCCCACTGTGCCACGGCCTTTTTGACGTGGGCTGTGTTCCGAGGCTGACCCACTAGCAGTTGTTACGGTGGAAGCCTTGCGAATCAGAGAGAACGCTCGCGTGCTTTGCGTAGCAACTGGAAAAAAAAGACGGCAAGGAGAAGCAAAACAAAGGGGCGAAAACGGGGTAACATAACAATCATAAAAGTAGCCCGAAAAAGAAGAAACCAGATTCAAGCGCGCGGCCTCACGGCCTGACGGGTTGCCGCTTGACGGGCTGACGGCTGGGGTGGCGGGACTTGGCCATGGCCGCTGCCTCGGCCTCGCCGATGGTCTTTGCCTCTCTGTGAGCCCGGTTCACCCAGCATCATAGACGACTACGGCCCCGCCCCGCCCCGCCCCGCCGGCCAGCCGGGTTCCGGGAAAGGGCAGGGCGGGGCGGCGGGGACCCAGGCGCGCTTTTAAACAGGTTTACCCTCTCCGACAAGATCTCGTCTCCGTCCGCCCCGCCCCGCCTCTCAAGGCTCGCTCTAGAATGGATTTTGGGCGCATTAAGCGCATCCGGCGGCGGCCGAATCGAAACAGGGAACGTTCGTGGAGCGCGCCCGCAGTTCGACGACTGCTGGCGACGGCGGTTTTTTCTTCTTTTTTATGTGTTTCTCCTCTTTCTGTGCGCGGTTTCCGTGAGTGACCTTCACACAGAGGCGTCCAAGCCGCTCCAAAGTGAGCCAGGAGACCGGTGAAGGCGGAAAAATTTCTAGACGCGCTTTGAGCAGCACATTCGCTAAGCAGGACTCGAACTGATCGTGTGACCCCACCAATGGGTTGCTCTCGGAACGAGGAATCAATTGGTGGGGTCACACGTTCGGTTCGAGTCCCATTTAGCGACTCTGGAGCTCAAAACATGTGTAGAGATTTGGCCGCCTCCAGCGGTCTTCTGGCCCACTGTGCGTTGGTACCACGGCGTTTCGAGTTCGGACCGACAGGCGAAAACGTGTGCCTAGTCACGTGCTGGTTGCCCAGTGCGCCTCCACCGCCAACTTGTTGGGTAACTCTTGACACAGTTTTGCTCATTAGTCATCGCTGGCTTGGTGGGACTGACCGAGGCGGCCGAAGGGGACCAAAGGGGAAGCCTGAAGCCCACCTGTTAGACGAGTTTCTTAACACCGCGCGGATAAGTGGCAAAGTGCTGCAGCGAGTTGAAGGGCGCTTTGCTCAGTGAATCCCTCTCCCCCACCCACCTTTCCGCTACCTGGGCTGGGCGTGCACCACTATAGAACCCCAAGTTTCCAAGCCGCTCCGGCGTCTTCGCGGCCTATTTACATTGTGGCTGCGGTGCGGGATTTTTGCAGTGCAGAGCGCTGCACAGTGGGCCAGAAGACTGGCGGAGGCGGCCAAAACTCTAGACGCGTTTTGAGCTCCAGAGTCGCTAAGCAGGCCTCGAACCGAACGTGTGACCCCACCAATGGATTGCTCTCCGAACGAGGAGTCCATTGGTGGGGTCACACGATCGGTTCGAGCTCCATTTCGCGACTCTGGAGCTCAAAACGCGTTGAGAGTTTCGGCCGCCTCCACCGGCCTTCTGGCACACTGCGGTGCGCCGACTCGCCTGCGCCAATCGAAGCGTCCGCCCGGCAAACTCTTTAAAGAAATGTCCAGGCCTTGTTGTGCGGCGGCACTGTGCCTCCAGTTTCCCAGGAATCGCGCCTCACGCCCCTAAACGCGCCAACGGCGCACAGCTCGCCCACGCCTGCGAGACCAACTTTCCCGGGACAGTTCTTCTTTTCCTCTTTTCACGTCTGTGATTAGTTTGTACGGAATGAGGCCCACGGGGGTTTTCAGGGTTTTTTTAACGCTTGGCAGACGCCTCATGAGCGCGAGAGAGACAGAGCGATGACTCTCGGAATCAGTCTGCTGCCGACACCGACACGCTGTACTGGAGCGGATGCCTGGAGGGTGGGGCCCAGGGCCGCGCCGCACAGTGGGCCAACCGGCAGAGGCGGCCAAAGACGCGTTTTGAGCTCCAGAGTCGCTAAATGGGACTCGAAACGAACGTGTGACCCCACCAATGGATTTTTCTAATCCATTGGTGTTCGTGTCCCATGAAGCGACTCTGGAGCTCAAAACGTGCCCGGGATTTCGACCGCCGCCACCGGTCTTCTGGCCCACTGTGCGCCGTGGCCGCCCGCATCCCCAGCCGAGTCTCCTCCTGGACCGAGGGGGTAAACACTCCACGAAATCGTGTACAGAGTACTCGGTATTACGCGGTATTACGGGGACATAACACGTGTATTACGGCACTAAAATGCCAAAATTTGGCATATTTAGCCCCAAAATGGTATTACAATTACGTGTATTACGCGTAATACACCATTTTTGTGTACAGGGTATTACGCGAGTGTTTACCCCCTCGTCCTGGACTCTAGGAGTGGAAAAAGAGCCTGGGCCGCACCTTGACATTGCTGCAGGCTGAGGACCAGCAGGAGCAGCAGCGTGGCCGAGGTGGTGGTGGAGGCCGCCATGCTGGCCATGCTGGCCACACTGGTGGTGGCCGCGTCCATGTCGTCCATGTCCGTCTTCCGCTGGCAGTGCCCGCGTCGTGCGCCGGTCATCCTACAACGGGCGGCGGCGGCCGCCTCTACAGTGTGGGCACAGGCGGCGCCGCGGCATGGCAGTGTGGTGGCACTGCGGCACGCACACACGCAACACACTGACACCTCGGGCACAGGTGCCGCAGCACTGTTGGCGCCTCGGCCAAAACGAAAACAAATTCAAACACTGCACACTGTAAGTACTCCAGGCGGGTAATCCAAATCCGGGAGCACAACACTCGGCACTGGGTGGGGCGGCGGGCGCCGGGGGCGGTCCCGGGGGCGGTCCCGGGGGCGGTCCCGGGGGCGGCTGCACTGGCAGTCGACGAGAGCACACTCGACGCGGCGCAGGGCGGACGGGGTGGTCGCGAGGCAGCGCGGGGTGGAGCGGAACCGACGTCCTGGCCTGCTCGGCTAGCTGGGGCCGTCTGTGGACTCTACAGCGTGGAGCCCCTGCCGCGCCTTGCCGCCGCGCCGCCGCAGCCCACCAGCCCCACGCCCCAGCCGGGCGGACCGGCGCCCCACACCCCCACCCGCCCCCGCCGCCCCCCCCGCCCTCACCGCCCCAGCACCCACCCTCGCCTCGACGCAGTGCACTAGCGCTCTCCCTCCGTGGCGGCCGCGAATCGCCGGCACGACGCAGATTTCAGGTCTCTCTCTCTCTCTCTCTCTCTCTCTCTCTCTCTCTCTCTCTCTCTCTCTCTCTCTCTCTCTCTCTCTCCTCTCCTCCTCTCTCTCCTCTCTCTCTCTCTCTCTCTCCTCTCTCTCTTGGAGTCAAATGCTCCAGGCGAAAAATCAAGCGGGTAGGTTTCTTGCCTGCGAGGATTGATATTTGTAAACAATTGGAGAACAATGGAAACCTATAAAAACTCCCTTGCCTCCCCCCCCCTCCGGATCCGCTTCTGATACGGCGGGCCGGATAAGAGCCCTGAAATCAGGCGGCGCCATTTCATCGGGGTGCCGAAAGGCCGGCAGGCCGAGAAGGCCAGGAGCCACTGGGAAAAAAAATAAATCCATCGCCACATTTCACTTGGGCACGCCACGCCGCCACGCCGGGCGCAGCCCTTTGTACGACAACTATTCCATCAACGACCGACCGTTTGCCCAGATTGGGGCACTTATCAATTAAATCGCCTCGGAATCCGCGCCCGCCCCGCCCCGCCCCGCCCCGACGACGCCAGCATCGGCCGGACGACGCCGGGCGAGTGCACGCGCGAGCTCTCTGGAGGAAGAGAAGGGGGGAAGAAAGGGAGAAAAGAAAAAAAGAAGGAAAAAGAACAATGAAAGTGGTTCCGATTTATTTTCGTGCGAGCAAACACAGCTCTTGGCCACGGCGGCCGAGGCGGGCTGAGGGAGAGAGAGGGGGGAAGATGAGCGTGGGACAGAGAGGGAGCACGGGGTAGGTACCTACGGCTGCCAATGCCCGCACACATCTCAGCCCGGAGACACTTGTGACTCTGTCTGTCTGACTGTCTGTCTGTCTGTCTGCCCGCTTGCGCGTCTCCCGGCCTGCGTCTGAGGGTTGAGCTGCTGTTGGAGAATCCGCACATTTCACTCTCCCGCTTCTCGGTACCTCATTCACTCACTCACACACTGACGCACGCACCGTCTCTCACTCTCTCTTACACACACACACACACACAATTTTTTCGAGCGTTGCGTCGGCGTGTTAGATGTGCCCCACTTCCAAAACAGTCGCTCCGCTATTACTCAGCATGCTCTCTGGCCCTCGCGCCCCGCCCCGCCCCGCCCCGCCCCGCCCCGTGGCGTGCCCCCCGCGCGACTCCGCCACTGATACGGTGTCACTGCGGCGTCACAGACCGCGCGGCGATGGCAACTTTGTGACGCGCTGGATATAGGCGAACTGTGGGCATCACTCACCCGGCCAGGATGGCGGGGGGGAAAGATAGGGGGGGGCGGCAAGAGTGAGAGAGCACCCTCGAAGTCAAAAAACACGCACAACGCAGCCCACGGTGGGCTGGCCGCCTGGTCTAGCCCTTAATGGTAATGGTAGTGCGAGGTAGGCAACAAGGCTGCATGAGAGTACGCGGGTTGCCTACCCCGAGACTCGCAGGCTGAGTCTCCAGCGGGCAGCCACCTCGCCGATGCAAGATGAGGATATCGGGGCGCAGGCAGAGCGGACGCCATGGCCTCCCGGTAGCTCAGTGGTTTAGAGCATGGTCTGGGAAGCGGCAGGTCCCGGGTTCGCGACCGACCGATGTACCATTTTTTCGGCAACCGACTTCTTGAGGAGGTATATCCAGAGAGGATACAGTACCAGCGCAGGCAAAGCGGACGCCATGGCCTCCCGGTAGCTCAGTGGTTAAGAGCATGGTCTGTGAAGTGGTAGATCCCGGGTTCGAGACCGATAAAAGTTACAATTTTTTCGGCAACCGACTTCTTGAGGAGGTATATCCTAGAAGATAAACTACCAGCGCAGGCATAGCGGACGCCATGGCTCCTCGGTAGCTCAGTGGTTTAGAGCATGGTCTGGGAAGTGGCAGGTCCCGGGTTCGAGACCGCTCAAGGTACCCTTTTTTCGGGACCAGATTTCTCGAACGGCAGCTCAAGAGGAGTTGCGACATCGCCGCCGACAAGCTGGTTCGGTGGCTGAGCGGTCAGGGTAGAGGAGTTGACTAGACTCGGCACTCGGGGTCGCGGGTTCAAATACCCAATGTGACCCCTCTGAGGTAAGGCCTCTGAATCTGGACTCTCACTGTACCACAGAAACCGCGCGCACTTCGGGTGGGCCAGCCCAATACGAACCCACTAATCTGTCGAATTGCGCGGCAGGGAGCGTCGGATGAAGGCCCGGTTCCCATAAGAACACCGAAGCTGATCGGCGGGTCTCCTTGAGACTTTCGTATTGCCACTTTTTGCCGTCAATTTTTTCCTGCGGGAAAGGTGCAAATCGGACGGGATGTCTGGCCGCCAGCGAGGTGGCAAGTGAGGCCGTCGTTTGCCGAGCCGACCCGAGGGGCCAGTTAGAACAGCAGCCGAGCGCCGAATAAGTAGGGGCAGAAGCAGAGCTACCCGAGTGCCCCAGCGAGTACCCAGGCCGACGGCCCGACCTCGATCCTCGATCCGCTCTGGGCCACCGGGAGGGCCGGGACCCACTTCGGGTGCCGAAGGGCCGAAGGCACACACCGGGCGGTGCAGCGCGGCGCTCGGCGCGGCACAGAAGACCGGTGGAGGCGGCCAAAACCCCGGACGCGTTTTGAGCTCCAGAGTCGCTAAACGGGACTCGAATCGGCCGTGTGATCCCATCAATGGATTGCTCTCCGAACGAGGAATCCATTGGTGGGGTCACATGTTCGGTTCGAGGCCTGTGTAGCGACTCTGGAGCTCAAAACGCGTCTGGAGTTTTGGCCGCCTCCACCGGTCTCTAGGCCCACGGTGCGCAGGCGCGGTGGAGTGCCCTGCTCATTCCGATCTCCATCGCCTCTTTGCAGGACACCGCGAAGGAAGACACACGTTGGAGCAGAGTGCCGGGAAGCTCGCCGGAGCCCGACAGCCGTCCGGGAAAGCTAGAAAGCTAGAAAGCTGGGAAGCGGAAAGAGGAAGGGAACTAACTGCGCGTAAGCGGAATTCCTGCGCGGAATGCTGACATGCGGAGAGAGCGGCTGTCTGCTGCTCACCTGGCTCCGTTATTGCACTGTGGGGGGGGGGGGGGGGGGCCTGCCGTCTTTAATCCTGGAGCAATCAGGCTGGAGCCGAGTCACACACCGTGTTAATTTGTTCGTCGTGCAACCTTTCGCTCCGTGCTCCCATTGGTGGGGTCACACGTTCGGTTCGAGTCCCATTTAGCGACTCTGGAGCTCAAAACGCGTCAAGAGTTTTGGCCGCCTCCACCGGTCTTCTGGCCCACTGTGCAGGGTGCGAGGCTTGGGGTCGGCCACTACACCACTTTCCGAAGCGCTGCTGCCCGGCACTGCCCCGGCACTGCGCTGGAGAGCGTGCCACTCCACGGGGCGACATCAACATGGACCGCTGGACATCCCCCCCCCCTCGCTGCTGGAGCCGCCGCCTCTTCGGACACTTCTTCGCCCCCTGGAAAAAAGGGGGAGGGGGAGGTCGCCTTGAGGGACGGTTGGTGTCTTTCATAACCCTTGGTCGCGTCCCAGGCGGCGCCACTTCGCAAAGTCACCCCACCACATTCACTTGGAGTACACGAAAACACACGTTCGCACACACTCACACACACACACACACACACACACACACACACACACACACATTACGCACTGCATTGCACCTTCAAGATGCCCCTGCCGTGCTCGCTGCGGTGGGTTGCGGTGAGTGGGGTTGCCTAGACTCTCGAGGGTCGAATGCTTCCGTGCCCCACTTCCTGTCTTCGTAACGAACGGTGTCCCTACACCGTGAAAGCGGCCTGGATTCAACATCCAATAGTCTCGGAAGTTTAAATTCAAGAAAACGGCAAGGCGGTGATCATTGGATCGAGCGTGTTCCAATCGTTCTTCAAAGTAATTCCCGATTAGGTGATACTTTTGGTCGAAACGCAACGGCCAGCCTGCGTAGTCTCACCCCTGCAACAGGCAAAGCTCTCGCAAAAGGCTTTCACACTGTAAAGTCTGTTTGCGCTCACTCGAACTAACCTAGTGGTGTTGCATTTCCTGCGGGGAGTATGGACGGGGGAGGGATTGAAAGAGAGAGGGGGCGAGGGCCTTTGGGTCTGGCATCACACCGTGTTGGTTTAGGGCAAGAAGGAGAAGTGGCCATTGGCAGTGGGGTCATCGGCACCGACAAGACAGGACAGACGGACGGACGAGACAGACAGACAGACAGACAGACAGACAGACAGACAGACAGACAGACAGACAGACAGACAGACAGACAGACAGACAGACAGACAGACATGACAGACAGACAGACGGAGCAGGGCCGGTCAGGATGCCAAGGAGAGATATGACACCAGGGCGACCCAAGCAGCCGATCCGATCATGTAGCAATATCCGTAGTAGGCGGGGTTCGGGGTTCGAGGTCTGGGTTCGGGTCAGCTGGATGTGTGAATGTACAACGAGGGACCCGGCGTTCCATAACACATTCATCCCGTACGCCCGAAAGAAATGCAGGGGAAAGCGGGGGAAAAATAGTTTAGCGGTTTAGCGAAAAAACGACGGTAGGAAAATAAAAAGTGAGATGGACAGAAAGAAAAATAATTCCGTAGTTCTCCGCTATCATTAGCAGGGCCTGCAGGATAAGGAGCAGCTTGCGGGAAGAAAACGGAAGTAGAGGGGGGGGGGGGGCTAGAGGGGTCCGTGTGACGTTTCGCCCCACCTGTCGGCAGCCTGACCCCGGCCCAGCGTGGCCCAGCGTGGCCCGGCCCAGCCTCCCCTTACAATTGAGAACGTGACAATCTTGTGTAATGTGGG